TAATTAGTTGCACTAACTACCTTTCAAGTGCTTCCTAGTCACAGGTGGCTACTGTATTACAGGAGTTCTGGTGGCGTACTGGTTATGAGTCGCGCTGCTAATCTCAAGGTCAACAGTTCAAAACTACTAGCCGTTGTGTGGGAGAAAGATGAGATTTTCTTCTCCCATAAAGATTTATAGTCTTGGAAACCCTATGCAGGGTCGCTGTGAATTGGAATTGACTCCAGGGCACATAACCACCACTGTATTAGATAACACAGCTCTAATTTGCTATATGACCTTGGGTTAAACTCTCCCCACCTCTAAAAAGGGAAAGACGAAAATTTTTACTTCAAAGGGTATAGATTTCACCATTCCACTCAGTGATTCCCAGGAGGGAGTGATGTCCCAAACTCAGCCCAGATGACACAGCATAGCAGAGCCAGCTCCTGAGGTCAATAAAGTCTGTGCTGGCACCTCTCCCAGGTCAGAAAAGTGTGTAGGCTCCACCCCTTAAAGAGATTAGGATTGTCAGTCCCCTCCTCTTGGGTCAAGGGAGTATAGGGTGACTCAGCTACCAGGGTCAGAGTCCTGGGTTCAGCAAGCATTGCAAGAAAAATGCCACCCTCCTCTTCTCTCTGCCCTTTTAGAGGGCAGATAAACGTCAAAAGCCAGGCTCAGGTCATGACCAGCCGACAGAGACACATGCCAGGTGGACAAGCAAATGCTCATCTACACCTCAAAGAAAGAACAAAGAAACAACAACAACAACAACAAAAACACAGGCATACTGAGCAGATGCAGGATCAAAGTAATGATGGAGACAGACCCAAGTCCAGTGGGTCCAGTTCCTGCACTCCTCGAGCGCAGACACTGAGCTGGCGAGTGAGACACACAAACAGATAACCAGGGAGACGCAGGCAGGTCTTGTTCTGTGAATATAAACCTAGAGGCAGTGGGGAAACTGTCCAACACTGGCCCAAGTGATCAAACACACTGAGATACCCGATTCCTTGACCTGCCAGGTGTTGTCTCTGTCTCTTTCTCCCTGATCTCTCCATCTCTTTGTCTCACCTGTTCTGTGCCTCTCATCCTTCCTTTGGGTTCTTGCATCACTCCGGCTGTGGCTGCCAGAAGCAAGACTGGAGAGACAGACCATGAGCATCTGCAAGCTATACAAAGACGAACTGGTACTTGTACACACGCACATGCACAACCACAAACACGACAAGCACATACAGACACACACAGGGACATGCACCAATACCACCACACAAACACAAACACACCTTCCCGTATAAACCATGCAAGCATGCGCACCGATGCAGGCAGGCAGGTACACACAAAGTAAAAACACACAAGCACACCCCGACTCATCCTCAGGAAGCCACACCATTACCCAAATGCAATGCAAGCACACCTTTCCATTTAAAATCATTTAAGAACATATACATAAACACACCGAGACTCGTACACAGAAACACACACTTTAACATTTGCATAAATACCGATAGCCCCTTCACATTGAAAATCACACATTTGCACACACAGAGGGTCAAATAAGCTTGGACAAGGTGTGTGATGAAGGGCCGGGACCAGGTGTCTGGAGTGAATGGAGGTGGAGGCTGCAGCGGGCTGGCTGGGCCGGGGATAAGGGGTGTTGGGAGTGAGCTGGGCGCTGGGGTGAGCTTTTCTCCAGGATTGAGTGGTGCGGGTGGCTAGGGGAGAAAGGCTGACTTTCAACTGAACTCTCATCTCTCAACACTGGCAAATATTCATAAGATCTACCACACCCTTAATAAGCTAAATCTAATAGAAGATGTTGGCCAAGACAATCACCAAACAGGAAGTCTGTGGTCTTGCAGTTCTTCAGACTGCTTTAGTAAAGTGATGCCACCAAGGAAAAAGAGAAGACCTGCATTTGGAGATGATTTATCTGCAGAGAAAAGTAGGCATGATAGCATGGTTAGAAAATATGATTCAACTAGAATAAAGACTGAAGGCGAAGCCTTTTCAAGTAAGCGATGCTTAAGTGGTTCTATGTATATGCAGGTACTGATGATGTTGTAGGTCCTGAAGGCATGGAGAAATTTTGTGAAGACATTGGTGTTGAACCAGAAAATGTAGTTATGCTTGTCTTAGCCTGGAAATTGGACACACAAAACATGGGTTATTTTACTCTGCAGGAATGACTGAAAAGAATGACTTCTCTACAAGGTGATACAACAGAAAAACTAAGAAATACTTTGCATTACTTAAGAACATTATTAAATGACTCTACAAACTTTAAACTTATTTACAGATATGCATTTGACTTTGCACGGGAAAAGGACCAGCACAGCCTAGACATAAGCACTGCTAAGTGCATGTTGGGACTGTTATTAGGAAAAATCTGGCCCCTTTTTCCAGTTTTTCACCAATTCTTAGAGCAATCTAAAATATAAAGTCATTAACAAAGACCAATGGTGCAATGTGTTAGAGTTCAGCAGAACAATTCATCTTAACCTCAGCAACTACGACGAAAATGGAGCATGGCTGGTTTTGCCGGACGAGTTCGTGGAATGGTATAAAGACAAACAAATGTCATAGGACTTTATGCACGGCAGCGAGAGAGTCACTGTCACCACAGTTCTGTCAACCATTAGCCATAAATTGTTGCTCGTATCAAAGAGCATGATGCTTTCCTCGCACTGTCTCCCCCTCACGGGGACATTCTGGTATCTGCTATTGAATGGGCCAGCTCTGCTTGCTGTGTGGCACTGTTCTCTTGGAAGGCTGTTTTGCAGTTTGTATTTACACTACAGATTGGTGAATCTTCCAACATCCTCAACTGTGATGATGTGTATATTGCTGTTTAAATTTTGTATATGTGTATAAAAAAAAAAAAAAAAAGCTTCACACCTAGAGATTATTTCTGCAAAAATGTATTGTAAAAATAATTTTGTGGCATATTTCTAGTCCCTTTTTTCAAATGAACCTGTTATATTTTATTTGGTCTCAAATGTAGCATTTCAGAAAGCAAGACAAAACAGCTGTTACCATGCGTGAACAATGCCAGAACTGATCTTTACTGCTTAAGAGGCCAATGTGGGGAAGGAGGAGGGAGTTCCTAACTCTTCAGTAGCATATACCAAATGCCATTTGGTTTACTTAACCAAAGTAGCATTTTAAAATTGGGGAAGTTTCTCATTTGAACACAGAGACATGTACTATGCTATAAATTGTTTCCACTGTACACCATGCAAGGTATTGGGTTTTTGTTTTGTTTTGTAATGTTAAAACTATAGTAATTTGGATATAGGTAGGTACAAACGAAAAAATTAAAATTGCACTTTCTTAAAAAAAATAAGCTTGGACAAGTGCTTGCTGGCATAGATACAACAAAGGCAAAAGTAGCTGGACAAGTGACTAGTCATCCATACCTCAAAGGAAAAACAAACAGACACATGCACACTTTCGCATGGACCTTGGTATCCCTGTCACAGGGCTATTGCCAGCATTTAGGGAGGAGTAAGGGAGGAGGAAGAGAATAGGTCACGGGGCTTCCTTAGCAGGAAGTATAGATCTTCTACCACTTTTTTCGAATCCACTCCTGGACAATGATGCAAGGGAGGCGGGACTGATGGAGTTGCATAACTGGGCTGGGAGGCAGATGCAGATAAAAGTCCCAGTTCAAACTTGCTGTGGAGTAGAAGACACTCAGACTAAAGACCAGAGCCATGGAGCTGAGCATCCTTCTTCTTCTCGCTGTTCTCACAGGTCTCTTACTTCTCCTGGCCAGGGGCCACCCAAAGGCCCAGAGACACCTCCCTCCAGGTCCTCGTCCTCTGCCTTTCCTGGGGAATCTTCTGCAGATGGATAGAAATGGTCTACTCAAATCCTTCCTGAAGGTGAGGCCCAGATGGATAGGGTTAGAGGGTGGGCTGGCCCCCTGCTTCAGTCCTTGGGGATCATTCAAGGACTCCTAAGAAAGAGTGGGGTATCCTTGCAGACTCAGGGTGTGTGATGGTTATGTAAGTTGCATGGGACTGAAGCATGGTAGCTTGTGGTCAGATTGCCAGAAGTCCTTCATGCTCAATTAAAATTGCATAGAGATTATCCTTGCAGTGGGCAAATGGTTATGAAGAGGCATCTGGGTGTGAGCCACAGGTGTAGAATTTCAGCCTTCTCTTCTTCCTTCTGTAGAGTCTCTGGGTGCCTGTCCAGCACTGGCTTCTGTCAGTACCAGGGTAACAGGTGCCAAATAAGAGGGAGGGAGTTAGGAGTATGGTTAAGTCTAGGATTTACATTTATAGTGAGGATTGGGGTTAGTGTTAGAACTAGGGCTAAGACTAAGGCTTGGTCTAGTTTCATAACCTACCACTAGGTTTATTTTTTTATCTTTATTTTTTTCTTGAACTCAACTTGATTTCCTCTTCATTTGAAAGTTCTGTAACTACATTATTCCTCTCTCTCTCTCTCTCTCTCTCTCTTTTTTTTTTTTGGTTTTGTTGTTGTTTCAAACTAGCATCTCGGGTTTCCTATTTTCAGTCTTGTAGGTTTGTTTTCTTTGAATATTGTGAATCGCAGGTTGTTGTTTGTTGTTATTGGTCTAATACTAACGGCCTTTAGCATTTTTTATAAGCTTGGTCTGGTTTTCACAAATTCTTCTAATTTCTGTTTATCTGAGAATGTTTAAATTTTGCCATTGTATTTGAGGGATAGTTTTGCTGGGTCTATGATTTTTGGTTGGTAATTTTTTTATTTCAGAGTTTTTTTCATATGCCATCCCATTGTCTTCTTGCCTGCACGGTTTCTGTTGAGAAATCAGAGCTTAATCTTATTGATTCTATCTTGTAGGTAACTTTTCATTTTTCCTGAGCTGCTCTCAAGATTCTTTCCTTGTCTTTGGTTTTGAAATATAATATGTCTTTGTGATTTTCTTTTGGGATCTGTTCTGCTTGGAGTTTGTTCAGCTTCTTGAATGCCGATCATCTTGTCTTTCATGATGTTAGGGAACTTTTCTTCCAACAACTCCTGAATAATTTTCCCTATAATACATATATTTTGTCACTTTCTGTTTTGGAATTCCAATCATACGTAAATGATTCCTCTTGATGTTGTTGTTGTTGTTGTTAAGTGCCGTCAAGTTGATTCTGACCCATAGCAACCCTGTATAGGGTTTCTGAGGAGCAGCTGGTGAGCTTGAACCGCCAACCTTGCAGTTCAAATGGCTTTGCAGTCTAGCACTTTAACCCACAGCACCACACCAGGACTTCTCTTGATAGTCCCACATAAATCTTAGCCTTTCTTCAGATTTTAAATTCTGTTTTCTGATTGTTCCTCTGTTGTTGTTGTTGTTGTTAAGTGCCATCGAGTCGGGTCCGACCCATAGCGACCCTGTACAGGGTTTCCGAGGGTGTAAATCTTTACGGGAGTAGAAAGCCTCATCTTTCTCCCGCGGAGCGGCTGGTAGTTTCGAACCGCTGACCTTAAGGTTCGCAGCCCGATTCGTAACCACTACGCTACCAGAGCTCCTTGATTGTTCCTCTAGTAGATGAATATTAAGAGATTTGTATTAAAGCTCAATAATTTGGTCTTTTGTTGATTCAATTCAGCTTCTTTACCCTTTAAATGTAATATCTGTTTCTGAAGTCTTAGTATTAAAATTCTGACTTTCTAATTGCTGGTTTTGTATGGTTTCTAATTATCTTTAATGTTGTCTATTTGTTCTTGTAGTGTTTTCTTGAATTCTTCTAAAGTTTATTTTCTGTGCTCTTCTTGTTTCCTCTATCTTTATGTCAATCTATTGAAAGTACCTAAATATTATTCTTTTAAATTTCTTATCAAGTAATTCTGATACTTTTTCTGATTCTGTATTTTGGTCAGTTGTTTGAGGCACTTTGTCTTGTTTCTTTGTGTAAGCTAAAGTTGTCTGATTTCTCTGAGACATTGTGATGTAATATTTATAGTTAATGGATGATGGTATGGTGGTATGTTCTCAGGCACACATCACCTGTCTTTTGGTGGATGTAACAGAAACCAGAAGAGTGAACATAGTTCTGTTTGCTGTGTAACATCTTTTATGGCAGGTTCACGCACTTCCAGAAGCAGGCGTGGTCCTCCCAGCACCTGACCCCACGTAGAACCATGGCTGTGCGGGACAGGGTGCCACTGGTCACTAGGTTGGTGAGGGTGGGGACTTGAAATGCCCCTGACTATCAGAAGAGCAGAGAACAAAGGAGAACCACAACCCCCTTGTCACCAGCCTCCAGCCACATCCTGTGCCTGCAGGTGGCTGTATCTGACAGCCACTCCAGTGCTGCTCCACAAAAGCTAACAGCCCACCCATTTCTTTCTTGCTGCCCTTGTTCAGCTTCCTCATCCAGTTGTCCCTTAGTCCATCTCTCTGTCCTATCCTCTGAAGCTCAGGGTTCTGGGATTACCATGTTTATTTGTTTTACTTGGTTTCCCATGTCATTGTGCAGAAGGTCTGCTTAGCGTGTCTGGCTACTCTGCCAACTTGCCTTGGAAGTGACTTCCTTTGCTTTTTAGAGAGAAAATTCTACCACATATACAGATACCACATAGATGTCTCAAATGCACAATATTTAGATTAAGTTTTCAGTGTATTGCAATAATGTCTTGATGTTAATGTGATCTCTTGGGCTTAGTTTTCCAGAATTATGTGACTAGGAATCATCTGCATTTTGCCAGGAGTTCATCAGGCCTTATTCACAACAGCCCTCTGGGCTAGGTGAGGAGCTATCCCTTTGTTAAAGGTCAGGACACACAGGTGGTTACACAGCTAGTAAGTGTGGTGCTGGGATCCAGTGGGGAAACCTGTTTATCTCCAATGTCCTCTAGACAAAAGTTGCTGAACAATTTTGGGATCAATACACCCTTTGAAAGTTTGATTAAAGCTGTATGTCTTCACCAAATATGCACACACATTTGTGCATATACTTTTGGGTTTCACAGACCCTCCAGAAGCTTTTCCAAGGGCTCTCTAAGTCTCCACGACCCTCTATTATTATTGTATCTTTAAAGAGAGGGATAGAGAAAGAAATGGTAGAATGAATTAGGGAAGGCGGAGCTACCCTTTCTCCATTCCTTGATAATTTCCCAAACCCTTTAAGAATCAGTCAAGCATGGGTTCTTGTCTCAGATTCAACTCTCTGAGTCTCGGTTTCCTCTTCTGTAATAGGGGATGATAACATTAAGAATGTGTGCCTCCCAAGGTTGCTGTGAGGATTAAATAGTACATCACATATAAAGAGTATATTGTACAGAAATGTTCATTAAATGGAAGGTCCTTGGATTCACTTATTTATTCATTCAACACTAATTTACTGAGCACCTTGTACGTACCAGGAGATATTCTTGGCATTGATTACCTGGCATTGGACAGAGCATACATGGTCGTTATGATCATTCTACTGAGGAGAACAAGTAAGGAAATACTTGATAAGAACTATGATTAAAATTAAGCAGGGTGATCTTTTAGAAAGTAATGGGAATGACTCAGTCTTGCTGTGTTTCCGAGATCTTGAATGGAACAAATGAAATGCACTGGAGAGAGGCAGGTATCATTGCAAAGTCCTGAAGCAGGAACACGCTCAGTATTTGGGGAACAATGTAGGCTGGATCTGAATCAGAGAGGAAATGAACAGGAGAAATCAGAGATGTAATGGGCCTGGTGGTGGAGGGCTTTGTGGACCATGGTGACCTTGGATTTTACTTTAAATGCATGGGAGCATTGTAGGATGTGAAACAGATTAGGGATGTTAACTACATTATATTTTAATAGGATTTCTTTGGTTTCAGGAAGTAAAATGATTGTATGGGAAGCAGGAAGACCAGTGAGAAGGCTATGTAGATCAGTGTGAGAGATTTTTAAGTAAGCTTGACAATTTTTATGATTTCCAGGAAATTTTTATAAGTTTAACATGACCCAAAAAACTGTACAACTCGTGAATGCCCAGATGAATGAATATTCACAAACTGAACACATCCATGTGATTGACACGTAGGTGGAGCAAGTAGCAGAACGTGATCATTTCACTTGCAAGCCCTTCCACTCACTACCATCCATGCTATCCTGACATAGTCGATTAGCTTTGCCTGCTTTTAAACTTTGTATAAATAGGACGAGGAAGTATGGACTCTTTTGTGTCTCCTTGCTTTCACTCAACATTGTATCTGTGAGAGCCATCCTTGTCTTGTATACCGACAGTGTGTTTTCTTGGCTGTATAGTATTCCCTTGCATATCACGATGTATTGATTCCATATCTATGTTGAGGAGCATTTTAATAATAAGGCTTCTATGAATATCCTTGTTTAGTTTTTTTGGTGACCACACACATTTCTAGTGGGTATGCATCTAGGAATGGAATTTCTAGATCATTGACTATGCATACATCTGCTCATCTTCAGTCTCCCAGTTGGCTGTAACGGTGTGATTTTTCATAGTTCATGACTACTCGCTGCCACTTTCCCTTATGCCTACAAAGTGGGTATTTCGGGGTTGTTCTCAGCAGGAATTGTCAGCTGGCAGATAATAGGTCATAAGAAAGATCATTTTTTTATTTTGTGAGGCCAGGGAGACAGGTCAGTGCGACATCAGAAATATTGAACCATCTGTATTACTCCAGACATCAACCAATGGCTTGGCCAAGGGTTAACCATTTAGTTGCTGGATCCTGAGAAAGGGAGAGAGTAGCCCAGAGAGAAGCATCATGGGACAGTACAGTGACTAATTACCAACCTATGTGTAAGTATTTTAGTGGTTTCGGAGACCTGGTGGTGCTGATGTATAAGCACAAATCCACCAGCAGCTCTGTGGGAGAAGGAAAGAGACTTTCTTTTCCCATAGAGGTTTATAGCCTCAGAAACCCTAAACAGGGTCATGATGTGTCAGAATCAACTTGATGGCACTGGGGTTGGTTTGGTTTGGACTTGGGGTGACGCAATAGTTAACACTCTCGGTTGCTACCAGTTGCTAACCAGTAATCACACAGAGTTACCTTGGATGAAAAGCCTGTAAATCTACTTCTAGAATAACTAGTCACTGAAAACCCAGTAGAGTACAATTCTAATCTGACACACAGGAGGTCACTGTGAGTCAGAATTCACTGCACAACAACTTTAAAAAAAAATGTTTTAAAATCACTATACAGGTATATTCTGAGTAATCAGCAACCCTGGGTGTGGGGTATACTTGGCAGCTCCGAGAGAAATATGGGGATGTGTTCACGGTGTACCTGGGACCGAGGCCTGTGGTCATGCTGTGTGGGACAGAGGCCTTGCGGGAAGCGCTGGTGGACCACGCTGAGGACTTCGCTGGTCGAGGGCCAATCGCTGTGGTTGAGCAAGTCTTCCAGGGATATGGTGAGAGTCTCAAAGGCACTGGGGGCAGGGTGGGGCATGGGAATTGGGGAGGATACGTCTGGGAAGGGAAGACAAGGGATAGAGAAGGGCATACACAGTGTCTCCTTCCAACCTCCTCTCCATGCCTTCTCCACACTCCCAGGTGTTGTCTTTGCCAACGGGGAGCGCTGGAAGACCCTCCGGAGATTCTCTCTGGCCACCATGAGGGACTTTGGGATGGGAAAGCGGAGCGTGGAAGAGCGGATCCAGGAGGAGGCTCAATGTCTGGTGCAGGAGTTACGGAAATCCAAGGGTGAGCTGTGCAAAGAGAGATGGGTAGGAGAGAATACCAGTGACTCAGAGCGAGAGAGATGGGGTGCATAGCAATAGAAAGACAGAGAGGTATATGTGTGCGGATAAAGAGAGGTAGAGACAGAGAAAGATGGAGTCTGAGAGACATCAGAAGACAGAGCAAGCAATAGTGAATAGAGATGGACACAAATGGACAGAGAGAGAAACACAGCTGGAGAGAGAGATTTGCAGTGTACAGGATGTCAAAGAATTACTCAAAGACATCTTACAGTCAACAGTTTGAAACTACCAGTGGTTCTGTGGGAGAAAGATGAAGCTTTCTGCTACTGTAAAGATTTACAGCCTCAGACATCCTATGCGGGATCACTGTGAGTCAAAACTGACTCCACGGCACATACCCACCACCACCACCATATACTATTTACTTGTATTCAAGGGAAACAATGCATAGATTAATATAATAAGATAATGCAATACAATATATGTTGTTAGGTGCAATTAAGTCTATTTCAACTCATAGCAACCTCATATGACAAAGTAGAACTGCCCCATTGGGTGTTCTTGGCTGTGACCTTTATGGAAGTAGATTACCAGATCTTTCTCCCATGGAGCTATTGGGTGGGTTGAACTGTGTCTTTAGGCTAGCAGTGGGTGGCTTAATCATTTGCATTACCAGGGCTCCATATGATATGATATAAAATGATGTATGATATGACATGGTATGGTATATTATATTTATATAAAGAGAAAAAGAAACAACACAGACACATTGGACAACTAACCATGCTCTCCTGTCCCTGGTTGCATTGATGATGAACTGGTAGCGAGCAGAGGCCAGGCGGGGTATCCTGGCCCCCAGCAGTGGATGAGTTATCAAACAAAAAACACTTTCAATTGTTTCTGGATTCTCCAGAAGAGCTCAGGCGTTTAGCTGTGACATCCTTGTGAAAACCTCTATCTCATTTATTTCCATTTTTAGCCATTTTCCTTATTAAAATCTCTCCAGATAATGTGAGACATAAATGTAGAGACCATACAGAAGAGGAAGAGACAAAGGAAACAATGGAAAAACAGAAGCAGATGGAGATGGAAGGCTACAAATAGAGCCACACAGACAGAGAGCCAGGGAAGGACAAAGAGTCAGCGATGGAGGGAGGGAGCAAGGCAAGAGGAGAGACAAGCAGAGACCAAAACAAATGGTAGAAGAGACTTAGAGAGGCAGAGAGAGAAAAAGACAAAGTGAAAGCAAGCAGAGAAAATTAGAGGGACATGGTAGTTCCATGTTTAACTTTTTGAGGAACATAAAAAAATGTACAATTCTGAAGAGCTGCCAAACTGTTTTCCACAGAGTCTGTGCCATTTTACAGTTCCACCAGCAATAGATGAGGACTCGGATTTCCCCATAGCCTCACCAACACCTGTACTTTTCTGTTGTTTTGTTTTTGCTCTTATTATTATTTTAAAAATCATAGCCATCTAAGTGGGTGTGATGTGATAGGTCAACCATTGCATGATCCCACTTGTATGAAACATCTAGAATATACAAGTGTGTAGAGATCAAAGTTTATTAGTGGTCCCCAGGGGTGAGTAGAGGGAGGAGGAAAGGAATATCAATGCTTAGAGCACACTGAACTTCTGTTAAGGGTTGCAGAAATTTTTCGGATTAGATAAGGGTGATGGTTGAACAACATTATGATCTATAAAGTGAAGGATGTTGAAATGGCAAATGCTTTGTTACCATGATAAAAAAATATTAGATAGACAAAGCTACTGAGAGAAACAAGACAAGGAAGATGAGACTCAGAGAATGAGAAGCTACACCAGCTGGAAGTTATTGTGTTCCCAGCTCACCAACATCGCTTTACCCCCACCACCCCCTCCAACCAGGAACCAGATAGAACCTGGCCAACACAGACATCAGCAGACAAAGGAAGACCAGAGCCCTAGAAATATATTATTTACTTGTATTCAAGGGAAACAATGCATGGATTAATACAATAATGTAATATAATACATGTTGTTAGGTACAATTAAGTCTATTTCAACTCATAGCAACCTCATATGACAAAGTAGAACTGCCCCATTGGGTGTTCTTGGCTGTGACCTTTATGGAAGTAGATTACCAGATTTTTCTCCCATGGTGCTGTTGGGTGGATCGAACTGTCAATCTTTAGGCTAGAAGTGGGTGGTTTAATCATTTGTATTACCAGGGCTCCATATGATATGATATGAAATGATATGATATCTGACATGATAGAATCCTGGTGTGGTGCTGTGGGTTAATGCGCTGGACCTGTCACTTTGCAATCGCAAGATCCGCAGTTCAAGCTTACCAGTTGCTCCTCGAAAGTCCTATACAGGGTCACTACGGGTCAGAATTGACTTGATGGCATTTAACAACAAACAACAATGATATGATATGGCGTGGTATGCTATACTATATTTATATAAAAGAAAGCAAAAAGAAAAAGAAAAACAGAGGAGAACAAGATAGAGCGGCACAGAGAGAGAGATCAGATCTTTTTTATTTGCATAATCAACCCACTGAGCACCTATTTTGTGTTACCCTCTGGCCCTGGGACTTGTTCACAGAGTTGGGTAGAGGTTTGTAGAGCTAAGATCTCCGAGGAGATGGAAGCTAAGGACCAACAGCAAGGATTCTGTCACCATGTTGTGTCGGTCTGAATGCTGGCTCCAAAAATTAGTAGCTGAGAAACCGTGGCCAAATTAACTTAACATCTTTGTCTATTTATAGAATGGGGATAATAGCACTAAGTCTTTGTCACACAGTGGTGGTGAGATTTAAATGAAATAATAGGTGAAATGCTTATAATAGCGATTAGAGTTACTGAGTGCTAGATGCTATTGTTATTATTTCTGAGCTGGGGAGGACAGTTACACAGAGGTGGGGCAGCAGGCAATTCTCCCCTTACCTGCCCTTGAATTTCCTGTCCCCTGACCTGCCCCCTCCTCCTCCCAGGAGCTCTCCTGGACCCCACCTTCTTCTTTCACGCCATCACTGCCAACATCATCTGTTCCATCGTCTTTGGAGAACGTTTCGCCTACAAAGATCCTGCATTCCTGCGGCTGCTGGATATGTTTTTCCAGTCCTTTACGCTCATCAGCTCTTTCTCCAGCCAGGTCAGAAAGCGGATAAGGGAGGGTGGGGACAGGTTGAGTATCCAGGGAGAGGAGTAATTTATTACTGGGGCCCTAAACTCAGTGGGGCTGGGAGGAGGGGACTTATAGGGCCAGAGAGCCTATGAGGCAGGGAATGAGTGACTAAGAGAAAGAAGAGGAGGTGATGGAGGAGGTAGCAATAGAGAGAGGTTTTGTCAGTGAGGAAAAACCCAATTGCCTGGGTGCCCCCATTTTTCAGATCACCAGGAGTATTTTTTTTTTTTTTTTGAGTCCTGATGTGGGTTAATGCTGGACTGCAAAGTCTCTTTGAACCTCAAGGTTGCCGGTTCAAGCTCACCAGTTGCTCCTCGAAAACCTATAGAGAGGGTCCCTATGGGTCGTAACTGACAAGACAGCATTTAACAACAACAACAGAAACAGAAAGACAGTGAGAGAGACAGAGACTGAGAAAGAGATGGAAAACAAAGAAAGATGTAGAAAGAGAGAGAGAGAGACCTCAAATACAAAGAGATGGAGCCAAGAGAAAAGAGGCTGGAGGAGAAAGACATCTGTCTGTATATGTCCAGATACCACTTTACAGCTAGAGATGGAATCCTGGTGCTGCATGATAAGCACTGGATTGCTAACCACAAGGTCGACGGGTCAAACCCACTGGCCGCTCTAGGAAAGCCTATACAGGGTCTATGAGTTGGAATCTATGCCAAGGCACACAACGCATGTAGAGAGAGAGATTTCCCAGGGGAGCTATTAGAACCCAGGAAGGCAGCCTCTCTCCCTCTCAGATCCCCCTCAACCCCAGGCGGGGCTCAGCCCCTTGTTTCTCTTAGGTGTTCGAGCTCTTCTCCAACTTCTTGAAGTACTTTCCGGGCACACACCGGCAAGTCTACAAAAACCTGCAGGAAGTTAATGCCTTCATTGGCCGCAATGTGGAGAAGCACCGTGAAACCCTGGACCCCAGTGCTCCCAGGGACTTGATCGATACCTACCTGCTCCGCATGGACAAAGTAGGGTCCAATTGAGGGGAGAGCAGGAGGGGAAAGTGGGAGGTGAGACAAAGAAAGGGCAAAGGTAAAGAGTGGGCAAGGGGGCGGGGAGGGGGAGGCAGGAAGCGATGCTATGGGAGGAAGAATAGCAAAGGGGACGAGAGGAGATAATATGAAAGGGAGAGGAGATGGAAGTGAAGAGGGAAGGGTTGGGAGACAAGACAACTCGCCCGAAAGATGGAAAGATAGAAATAGAGCGAGACAGAGAAACGGGACAGAGGTTGGATACATAAGGCAAAGCAAGTGGGTGAGGCCCACAAACAGTTGGAGAGAGCCAGGATAGACATGTGTACTCCGAGGCTCAGCCTGCCCTGACGGTGAGTCCTGCCTTCCCCACCCAGGAGAAGTCCAACCCCAACACCGAGTTTCACCACCGAAACCTCATCCTCACCTCGCTCTCCCTCTTCTTTGCTGGCACGGAGACCACTAGCACCACTCTCCGCTACGGATTCCTGCTCATGCTGAAATACCCCCACATCACAGGTGGGCAGAGCAGGGACAGACTGTCTGAGAGGAATATTCTGACCCCACTTTGGGATTCAGGAGTCCTGCGTGGACAGGAGGTAGCTCTGGCTTCTGACTTCCTTAGCGACTCTTCAGACTTTGGAACAGTTCCCAACTAAACCTGTTCTGTTCATGGATAGACAATACGACAATTTGTTTTCCAAAGGGTTCATCCTTAGTTTTTCATAGTTTGACTCATCCATCCACCTACAAATTACGTCTTATTCCTTAATCCTTCCATCAATCATCCTTTCAAGTAATCCTTAATCCATCATTTCATTTAGTTACTTGATAAATCATTGGTTTATTCATTCAATCATAATTTATGAATCTGTCATTCAATCCACCCATCCATTTATTTCTGCATCTGCCCTTTCTTTCACTAATTTATTCATCTATTAACTGAGCTATCCATCTCTTCATTTGTTTTATTCACTCATTGGGTTCATTGGTTTATAGGTCTATGAATCATTATTAATTAATATTCATGAATTGATCTATTGATTGCTACATGAATATATATTCCATTCATTGATTTGCTCATTCATCAATCTTTCCTATCATGAATTAATCCATCTGTTGATTGATTGATGTATTGTTTCATTTATTTATTTAACTGTTCATGAATTGATCTCTTGATTTTTCCACTGTTATATTCTTGAGGATTTAGCACATATAGAAGTATGATACACATACAATATACATTAGGTATTTCCCCCCCCCCCACTAATTTTCATAGAAAACTCTTCTACAGATAATCTTAAATCCAAAAGACCATTTATACATAAGGAAAAGTCAAAAAGATTTCACTTTAAGTTGAAAAAGATGTGTGTGTGCATGTGTGTATGTGTGTGTGTATTTGTTCATGTAGGGAAAAAATTCATAACATTTTAAAGGCTAAGCATTCTTGCTGCTCCCTTCCTCCACCCAACTCCAGCTGAGGGATGGCAGGGAAGCAGGGGTGTGTGTGTGTGTGTCAATAATCTAACCCTTTACTGTAGATTTTCTCTGTTTTTTTTTTTTTTTTTTTTTGGAGTCCTGGTGTGGTGCTGTGGGCTAACACACTGGACTGCAAGGTCAGTTTGAACCACTAGGTCGGTGATTCAAGCTCACCAGTGGCTCCTCGGAAACCCTAGAGAGGGTTGGAATGGGTTGGAACTGACTTGACAGCACTTCACAACAACAACATTGACCCATGTTGTTGTTGTTGTGATGTGCCGTGGAGTCGGTTCCGACTCACAGCGACCCTGTACAGGGTTTCCGAGGCTGTAAATCTTTATGGGAGCAGAAAGCCTCATCTTTCTCCCACAGAGCAGCTGGTAGTTTCAAACTGCTGACCTTGTGGTTCACAGCCCAATTCGTAACCACTACGCTACCAGAGCTCCTTACATTGACCCACAGAAAGCAGTAATCCCACTGAAATGCTTCTTTGAAATGTTTGCATCAGTGACGTAAGTCAGGAACTCATTGGTCCCTTCTTTGCTACAGAGAAAGTCCACAAGGAGATTGACCAGGTGATTGGCTCACATCGCCCTCCAACTCTCGATGACCGAGCCAAAATGCCATACACAGATGCAGTCATTCATGAGATTCAGAGATTTGGGGACCTCCTCCCTATCGGTGTGCCTCGCATGGTCACCAGAGACACTCACTTCCGAGGGTACATCATTCCCAAGGTAAGATCAGCTAGGGCCCTGCATTTGTCCCATGTGGGCATCCTGAGTTCTCTGATTCACTAAACTTGACCTCTTTTATAACAAGGGTTCCCTTATTGCTCTTTTTTTGGGTGGAGACTGGGAAGTGGTGAAATATTTTTTTGTGTTTCTTGTACCCCTCCTTTAGGGTACTGAAGTTTTCCCTATCCTGAGCTCTGCCCTCCATGACCCAAATTACTTTGAAAAACCTGATGACTTCAACCCTGACCACTTTCTGGATGCCAAAGGGGCCCTGAAGAAGAGCGAAGCTTTTATTCCCTTTTCCTTAGGTAAGCAGAACCCATGCCCTTTTTCCCAGACAGAGAGTGCAGGTTCCATCCCCTCTTCTAGAGGAACAATGGTTGTTATTGTTGTTGTTAAGTGCTGTTGAGTCAGTTCCGACTCATAGTGACCCTGTATAGGGTTTCCAAGGAATTGTTGGTGAGTTTGAATCACCTACTGTACAGTTCAAACTGACATTCAGTCCAGTGCATTAACCCACAGCACCACACCAGGACCCTGTTTATTGAGCATTTATTAGATGCAAGTTGCTTCCCCTACAGCATCCCATTCCATTGTTACTACAACTTCACAAGGGGTTCAAGACATGAGAGTATGTCTCAAAGACACATCTCAGTAAGCAGGACTTCTGGCAAATATTTTAACCTCTCCCTGGGTGGTGAAAATGGTTAAGTGCTTGGCTGTTGGCCAAAAGGTTGGAGGTTCGAGTTCACCCAAAGGCACTTCAGAAAAAAGACATGGAGATCTAGTGAAAAATCTTCCATTGAAAACTCCGTGGGGGCACAGTTTTACTCAGACAAACATGAATTGTAATTGATTTGATGGCAAAAAAAATTTCTTAACCTCAGTATATTAATTTGCTTCAAAAAATACCTGTTGAGCATTATTTTGATCTCACTGCTCTGTTGGTGATTGAATGTAAGGTATAAAACAAGTCGTATACCCAGTCCTCACCGTAGGACATTCACAGTTGATCTGAGGGCTTTGGAGAGCAGAGCAGGGAATGTTGCTTAATCTTGGGCACCTATAAGGAAAAACTTACCTAAGGAACTGGCTTCTAAATGAAGACCTCATAGGTGAATATTAGTCAACCACTGAAAGAATGTTCAGGTGACAAGAACAAGGATCTGAAGGTGGATCCATCATGGTATGTTTAAGAAACTGTCAGCAATCCAGTGAACCTAGGGTAGAGATTACAGAAGGGGATAAGGACAAAAAATTTAGCTGGGCAGGAGATCGAAGGTTGAGGAGGAATTAGGATTTCTCTGTGGGCACTGGGGAGCCCGGGAGGGCTTGACACGATTTGACTTATCTCTGATCCCTTACTCCTTCTTTGGTTCTATCCAAGGAAAATCCCAGTGCCCAGGAAGGAAGACCTGAGAAACAAGTTTCAGTCTTGAGCTTCATCAGAGACTTCAGTGATACAGACCCTGACTTTGTCTAGTGCCGATGGCCTCCTCTCTTGTTTCATCTTAAATGAGAATTGAGGAACATATGGGGCAACTGGGTCAAGCTCTTTGTCTGATAGTCCTAAATTTAGAGAGAGGCAGAGGTGTGGGGAAATACAGTCAGATTGTAGATAAAGTGATAAGGAGAGTGAGCAATGGAGAGGGACAATTGGAGACACACTGAGAGAGACAGAAACAGAGTGAAAGAGTGGAAGAAAGAGATGGAGATATAAAGAGACAGAGTGAATGTGAGACAATAGACTCAGAGGGAGATGAAGAATGAGAGAGAAATAGAGGAAATGTGAGCAAGGGAAGAGGAGAAAGAGGTGGAAACAGAGTAAGAGAGAGAAAACAAGATGGAGTAGAGAGAGACACAGAGAGTGAACAAGAGACAAAAGACCTTTAGAAGAAGATGAAAAGAGAAAGAGAGAGCGTGAATCAGACAGAAACAGGGAGCTCAACAAGACACAAGAAGAAAGCAGAATTAGAGGAGAGATCCACAGTGCTTGGCAAATACAAATGAAGATAGAGAAACAGACTGAGAATAAGATGGCAATGCTGTTGTTAAGTGTTGTCAAATTGGTTCTGACTCATTTGTTGTTGTTATGCGCTGTGGAGTCGATTCCAACTCATAGCGACCCTGTACAGGGTTTCCGAGGCTGTAAATCTTTACGGGAGCAGAACGCCTCATCTTTCTCCCATGGAACAGCTGGTAGTTTCGAACTGCTGACCCTGAGGTTTGCAGGCCAATTTGTAACTACTACGCTACCAGAGCTCCTTCTGACTCATAGTGACCCTGCATAGGGTTTCTGTAGAGTGGCTCGTGGGTTTGAACCACTGACCTTGCAGTTCAAACTGACCTTGTGGTACAGCACTTATCCTACAGTGCCACACCAGAACTTCTCAGATTGCAACAGGCAGAATGAAAAATAACTGGAGAAAAATGGTGTTAAAATGGAGTCAAGAGGGACAACCCCAGTGATGGGGTGGGTAGCGTATGTTGGGAGGAAGGAAACAGGCATTTTCCTGTCTGCTGAGAAAAGGTGGGTCATAGAACCAGTTAGAGACTCACCCTGAGCACTTCTAGCCACCCACCGCCTCCTAAGGGTCTGCCAAAAAGATGTTCCTTCCTGAGATACCTCACAAGCATAATTTTCCAAGAATTTGAAAGGCCTTGGAAATTCCTGGGAACCCATCTTTGAAATGATCACTCAAATGTGGTCAGTTTTCAAATTAAGAATAGACTTGTGGTAAAGGGAGATAGGCACCTTGTGTCTCAGTCTTTATTTCCTGGCTCCCTTGGTTTATAACCTACTGGGAAGACATGAATCTTTCCTCATGTACATTACCCCCATTAACCCCACATTTTATAGACAATTGGTTTTTTCCCTTTCACAATTCTTGAAACCCATGGGCCTCAGAGTGAGACAAGAAGACAGAAATAGGTACACATACAATGCCAGAGACACATACAACATAGCATACATGTTGGCCCCACCCAACACACCCAGGAGCACACACAAAGTAATAACTACACCTCTTGTAGTTGTTGTTAAGTGCCATTGAATGTGTTCCAACTCATCGCAACTTTGTGTAGGGTTGTCAAGGGGCAGATGGATTTGAGCAGGCAACCTTGTGGTTAGCAGTCCAGTGCTTATTCTACAGTGTCACACCAGAGCTCCAGCTTACACCTCTAGGGTCCTTAATATGGGTCAGGTGATATTCTAAGAAATTTCACAAATATTAAGTCCCTTAACTTCACAACAGCCTTTGAGGTAGGTAACATTACCCCCATATTAAAGATGAAGAGCATAAAAGATGTTAAGTCAGAAGTATACACACATTGATATGTGTGGAGACACCAAACACACACATACACACAGTCAGAACTGGATCCTTATACTCTCTGGGGCCACTGACCTCTGACCTCTTTGGGAATCTAACAGAAGTTATAAACATGGTATATCCACTCAAAATTTGTCTCCAGTTTCAAAGAGCTCAGGAAGCCTCAAAAGTCTATCGTGAAGGGTAGATTAAAAATCACCTCCATGCAAATCTCTAGCAGTGGATACAGGTATTTGGGCTTGGGAATATAACAGGACAAAGGATTCCCATAAAATGTGCACTCACCCCATGCCCACATTGGTGACCTCTCTCTCTTGGTCCACAGGGAAGCGCATTTGTCTTGGTGAAGGCATTGCCAGGACCGAATTGTTCCTCTTCTTCACCACAGTTCTCCAGAACTTCTCTGTGGCCACTTCTGTGGCCCCTGAGGATATCGACCTCACACCCCAGGAGAGTGGTGTGGGAAAACTGCCCCCCAAGTATGAGATCCGCTTTGTGCCCCGCTGAGGGTCCAAGGAAAGGGGTCTAAAGAGTCCAGGATCATCCAGAGTCCTTACCTCTACAGAATGGCCCCCGACTCCCTCCAAATCTTCCTGTCTCTGAGAGACCTTCCCTTCCTTGGTTATCACTTCCATTGGAAAGCCCTTTCTGTAGTTTCACCTCCTTCCATCATATGCCAAATTTTCTAAAGACTGAAGGAGGTCTTTTCCTTCCCCCCTGGAATAGAGTTCCAGAAGTTGGAAGCAACCTTGAAGATAATCGTTGGCGTAGATAAACTGAGAGCTCCAAGGGGAAACTTGGCTTAGGATATCTCAGTAATTGTGTCTCCCAGGCCACTGCTCATGTGCACAGAACAACCACAGCCTCCATTCATCCCTCCTTGTGCTCCATGAACTGTGCTGTAGGCATCTGCATCCATGAGTCAACTCCAATCCTTCTCCCAGGAGTCCCATGTGGTGCGTGCAATGGTCATGCCCATTTTACAGATGCGTAAACAGAGCCAAGGGAACAGCACTAGTTGTCCAAGGGCAAATATTACTAGTGAGCAGAGGAACAAGATTCTCATGCTGCAGGTCTGACCCTAGAACCCAAACTCTTCAGTACTGTTTCAACTGGAAATAGTCCTTCCCCATCTTCACTCTTAGCTGCTTCTGCCTACTTGTTCCCTTTATGAAAGGGCCTCCTCAGCCCAGGCCCCCAGAGTTGTATAATTCTAGTGCCTTGTCCTTTCTGATGCTCTCTTCAAACCCCCTCAGAATCGAATAAACATCAAAGCTGACATGCCCAAACCAGGTGACAGTCTGTGCCATTTTGTGTGTGATTCATCTGTTATCAGGTGCCAGGGACCTGAGACAACCTCTCCCTCACCTCAATGCTGTTAACTTGTTTATCCCTGTACATTCAATACCTGGAGCAGTGCATAAGTTCTAAAAATATCTGCCGAGGAATGACTGACTGACTGACTGACTGAATGCTTAGGCTAAATCGGTCCCTCATAAAGCCAAAATGGAGTTAGAACCACCCACCTCCCCAATCAAACATTGTATTCTTCTCCGTATGTTTTGTCTGATGCCCAAAATATTTTACATTTTTCTGATTGTCAAAGCCCATTTCCCAATGAGCACAGGATATCCCCAATTCTGCCATGCCATCTATGTTTGATCTCTCATGATGCCATGCCATGCTCTGACAAAACTGACCGAGAGCCACTTGTGCTCAGCCTCCACACATTCCAACAGCTGGTACCATCACCCCTTTTTGAGGGAAGTGTTCTTTAGTCAAGGATAATGTCCACTGAGGTGCCTCCAGTCAGTCAATGGAAAGCCGGCTTTGAGCCCCAATTTGGAGACACCAAATTTCCTGACTTCTTTAGCACCTGCCACCTTTGGATTTTGCAGCCTTTGGAGAGCTTCGAAGAGAGCTGCCAAGGTAGGTATCTTGAATGGCCTTTCCACCAAACTACAGAAACAAAACAACAAGCAGAGATATTATCGTTGGATGCTGGAAAGTTGGCTCTGACTCATAGTGACTTTAAGCACAATTGAATGGAACACGGCCCAGTCTGGCGCCTTCTTCACAGCTGTTGCTCCGTTTGAACTCATTGTTGCAGACACTGTTAATCCATCTTGTCAGGGGGCTTCCTCAGTTTTAATGACCCTCTACTTTACCAAGCATGATGTCTTTCTCCAGGGTCTGGTCTCTCCTGATAACATGTCCAAAGTATGGGACATGAAGTCTCATCATGCTCTCTTCAAAGGGGTATTCTGACTGTACTTCTTCCAAGATAGATTTGTTTGTTCTTCTGGAAGTTTATGGTACTTTCAATATTCTTCACCAACACCATAACTCAAACGCATCTGTTCTTCTCTGGTCTTTCTGATTCATTGTCCAGCATTCACATGCATATGAGACGATTGAAAATACCATGGCCTGAGTCAGGTGCACCTTAGTCTTCAAAGTGACATCTTTTCTCTTTGACACTTTAAGCAACACTCTAAATTTGTCCAGCTTTTACATGTATAGGAGGCATATGAAGATACCACGGTTTGGATCAAGCACACCTTAGTCCTCAAAGTGACATTTTTGCTCTTTAACACTTGAAAGAGGTCTTTTGCCCAGATTTGATTTCTTGACTGCTGCTTCCATGAGCATTGATTGTGAATCTAAGTAAAAAGAAATCCTTGACAACTTCAATCTTTTCTCTGCTTATTATGATGTTGTTTATAGGTCCATTTGTGAGGATTTTTGTTTTCTTTACAATGAAGTTATAATCTATACTGAGGACTGTATTCCTTGATCTTCTTCAGTAAGCGTTTCAAGTCCTCTTTGATTTCAGAAAAAGAGGTTGTGTCTTCTATACATCACAGGTTGTTAATGAGCCTTTCTCCAGTCTTGAGGCTGTATTGTTTTTCATACAGACCAGCTTCTTGGATTATTTGCTCAACAGGGACTCTTGGTGTGGCACTGTAGGATCAGCGTTGGACTTTGAAGTACAAGGGCGGCATTCAAACCTACCAGCTGCTCCTCAGAAACCCTATACAGGGTTACTGTGAGTCAGAACGACCTCGACGGCACTTAACAACAATGACAACAACATACAAATCAAATAAGTATGGTGAAAGGACACAAACTTGGCACACACCTTTCCTGCTTTTAAACCATTCAGTATCCAGTATCTCCTTGAACAACTGCCTCTTTGTCTATGTACATGTTTCTCATGAGCACAGTTAAGTGCTCTGGCATTCCCGTTATTTGCAATGTTATCCATAGTTTGTCATGATGCACATAGTCGAATGCCTTTGCACAGTCAATAATACACAAGTAAACGTCTCTCTGGTATTGTTTGCTTTCAGTCAAGATCCATCTGAGGTCAGCAATGATATCCCTCATTTCACGTCCTCTTCTGAATTCAGCTCACATTTCTGGCAGGTTACTGTCAATGTACTGCTACAACTGTTTTTGAATTATCTTCAGAAAAATTTTGCTTATGTGAGCTATTAATACTGTTAATTTCTGCATGCTGTTGGATCACCTTTCTTTGTAATGGGCACAGATATGGATATCTTCCAATCGGTTGGCTAAGTAGCTGTCATCCAATTTCTTGGTCTTTTGTGTCTCTGGTTAGGATTATTCCTAAGTACATCACCTTCTGGGGTAGGGTAATGTAAGTGGGTGAAAGAATACAACCCTGTTGCACACCTTTCTTAATTTTAAACCATTCAGTGCTCCCATGCTCTGTTCGAACAATGGCCTCTTGCTCCAGGTACAGATTCCTCATGAGCACAATTAAGTGTTCCCGAATACTCATACTTCGCAATGTTGTCCATAGCTTGTCATGATCCACACAATTGAAAGCCTTTGCATACTCAATAAAGCACAGGTAAACACCTTTCTGGTATCCTCTGCTTTCAGCCAAGATCCAGCGGACATCAGCAATGTTCCACATCCTTTTCTGAATCCAGCTTGAACCTCTGGAAGTTCTCTGTCAATGTATGCTTGCAGATGTTTTTGTATTACCTTTAATACAACTTTACTTGCATGGGATATTAAAGAGATTGTCTGATGGTTTTTGCATTCCATTGGGTCACCTCTCTTTGGAATGGGTACAATTATGGCTCTATTCCATCAGTCTGCCTTATAGTTGTCTTTCAAATTTCTTGGCATAGATGAGTGAGAGCCTCCAGTGCTGCCTCACTTTCTTGAAAGATTTTAATTTATATTCCATCAATTCCTGGTGCCTTGTTCTTTGCCAATTCCTTCAATGCACCTTAGTCTTCCTCCTCCAGTATCATTGGCTCTTGATCATATGCTACCTCTTGAAACGGTTGAACATCAATCATTTCCTTTTGGTACAGTGACTCTGTGTATTCCTTCCATCTTCTTTTGATGCTTTCTGCATCATGCAATAATTTGCTCAGAGAATCCTTCAATAATGAAAGTTGAGGTTTGAATTTTTTCTTCAGTTCCCCCTGCTTGAGAAATGCTGAGTGTGTTCTTCCCTTTTGGTTTTCTGACTCCAGATCTTTGCACATTTTGTTGTAATATTTGATTTTGTCTTCTGGAGCTGACCTTTGAAATTTTCTGTTCAGCTCTTGTACTTCCTCATTTCTTCCATTTGCTTTAACATCTCTACTCTGGAGAGCAAGTTTCAGTGTCTCTTCTGACTTCCATTTTGATCTTTTCCTTCTTTCTTGTCTTCTGAATGACTTTTTGATTTCTTCATGTATGATGTTCTTGATGTCATCCCACAACTCTTCTGGTCTTCGGTCTTTAGTATTTAATGTATCAAATCTGTTCTTCAGATGATCTCTAAATTCAGGTGGGATATACGCAAATAAACCAAGAAGCTGGATTATATGAAGAAAAATGTGGCATCAGGATTGGAGGAAGATTCATTAATAACCTGAAATATGTAGATGATACTACCTTGTTTGCTGAAAGCGAAGAGGACCTAAAATATTTACTGATGAAGATCAAAGAGCACAGTCTTTGGTATGGATTGCATCTTGATGTAAAGAAAACAAAAATCCTCACCATAGGACCAATAAGCAACATTCTTATCAATGGAGAAAAGATTGAAGTTGTCAAGGACTTCATTCTTCTTGGATAAACGATCAACACTCATGGAAGCAGCAGTCAAGAAATCAAACGACGTATTGCGTTAGGCATATCTGCTGCACAAGACCTTTTTAAAGTGTTGAAGAGCAAAGATGTCAGCTTGAGAACTAAGGTGTGCCTGACCCAAGCCATGGTGTTTTCAATAACCTCATATGCATGTGAAAGTTGGACAGTAAATAAGGAAGACCATAGAAGAATTGATGCCTTTGAGTTATGGTGTTGGAGGAGAATATTGAAAATGCCATGGGCTGCCAAAAGAACCAACAGATCTGTGTTGGAAGAAGTGCTTCCAGAGTGCTCTTTGGAGGCCAAGATGGCCAAACTTCGTCTCTCATACTTCAGACATATTGTCAGTAGGGACCAGTCACTGGAGAAGGATATCATGTTTG